TAGTAGTAGTAGTAGTAGTAGTAGTAGTAGTAGTAGTAGTACCAACTTGTTGATAGGCATTTGCCTGAGTCTGTGGATGTATGCATGTATATATATATGCACATTCTGTGCATAAGAGTGCTTACTGCAGTATTGTTGAGAGAGCATAAAGGTCACTACATCCTGAAATTGATGAATACTTTCCGCTTGTTTGGTGGTTGTTCTGGGAAACCGCTTGAACAGCACTTCCTCAGCAAGGTCAAGATTTTCTGTGTGTTTATATGAGCACTGGGGAGGAGTATTTTACACTTAACGGCACATCAGACACTCAGAATTATGACTTATTCATAACCCAGTGATCAAGGCGCTGTGGGTGAGAGGCCTTTGCTTCCCTGTTGCTTTTGATAGATACATATCTTGAAACAGCCAGATCTTTGTTACTGCAGCTCTCTCTGTGCTTGTGGAGTCGCTCTCATATGCATCATCCCCAACACCGACAGACCGTGGAGACTCTTTCATGAATCCTCCCTGATGCAGAGTTTGATGTTACGGTAGATATGCAACAGGATGAAAGATGTTCAGCGGTAATGTGGTTCTGAATCTGATCTCGACCTGCTTTATCCCACGCTGCTCTCCTGTCCTGACACAAACCAAGCCTGCTGCACAGCATTACAAGCATGTAGAGAGGGCCCCGAGCCAACTTACACACAGCCTTCTAATACTTCATTCAACAGGCCAACATGAACAGTCTCCTTGCTGCTATGAGACAAACTTTCTCTCATGGAATTTACAAAAAAATGCAGTCTGTGGGCCAACAGCCAGCCATGTGGACCACAGGTTAGGCATGAAACCTGTTGTCCAAGCAGTTTGTATGCCCAGTAAAGTTTCTACTAATGAAACGAAATGTCCGTTTGACTCCATGCCCCAGATAAAACAGCAGATACATATGTGGGTCAGTCAGCTAGCCGTTAGAGGAAGCCGCTGAGGAGTTAATTGGTCTGAGATATCAGCAACAGTGCTGGTATCGTGCCAAGGTGCTGAGGTAATGAGTGCAGGCCACTGTAGTCTGTTCTGAAGGGTGAAAAGTGAATGAGGACTGAAAGTGGGTGGTTAAGAGATCTAAAGCATGCTGACCCAGATTATTTGGTAAAGGGAGGATAGACACAGCCATTAAAATGGGAAACAAAGTCCATTCATTGAAGATGTGAGAGACGATGAAAATGCTATTGTTTTTCTGTGATGTTTAGAAAAGCATGTTTGAGCTGGTAGATCAACCGCCCATATCAGATGAACCCCCATTAATTTGGATAGAGATCCCCCAGTAGCAAATTTTTCATAAGCTAAACCATAAGCCGAGCTCTGCTCTGCGCTGCTCATCTGGAAGTAAGGGCCTCATAAAAGGCTGACTCACTATCTTTAGGGCAACACAAGGGCTCATACAATATGTGAACAGCAAGCACACTCAAATGATAAAACGTTCTGTCTGCATCATCACAAATTAGGAAAATGAAAAATAAATATGATACTAAAGCAGTTTGATGCCAGTCAGAGTTGGACGGGATCAAACGTGTCCTTCTACCATAAAAGAATGCAAGCCGCTGAGCTCAATATGACATAAGTGAGAATGGAGCAATGCATCCACCACCAACGCTGGAAAAAAATATATTAACCGCATGTCTTTATTTTCCAATTAATTCCAGTACATTATTAATAAAAGCTTCTTGGTGCTTCATCAAGACTCATCATCACTTGTGGCCTTCAGTGTAGACTTGTAAACTTTTATCACTGCTCATTTTTATCTGCTGAACAAAAACACATCAACGCCACGCTCTCTTCACCTCCAACAAACTTGTGAAACCAAGACCATGTTTACAAGTTTTACATGTTTTCAACAAGAGAGCAGAGAGCACCCAAGAGTGAGTCACACAAGGCATACCAAGCATAAAAGACAATAAGTGCAAAGATAAGTTTGATTTCTTTGGTTTACTTGCTCAATTGTCCCAGATATTATGAAACAAGAGCTGTTCTCATCAAGAATTCTCTCTTGCTAACCATAACCATGTGAGCTGCTGCTTTTGCTGCCCTCCATAAAGAGCGGAATGAAAGAGCTGCAGCAGGAGAACATGTTTCCCATGGATAGGCATTTACCACAATTTGTGTCTCATAACGTCTGCCACTGAGTGATGGCCACCATCAAATGCATGTTTAGCGCTCCAGAGTGAGTTAGATTTATTTTGCAGGCCCAGATTAAACACAATAAAACATTTCAAGCTGCAGAAGACTTTTACCGCTGATGAACAAATGCCAGCAGTTCTAACTTTCATATACAACCACTGGACCTAAGGTTTCGATGACAATAGAGGGGCCCAAAAATGTAAACAATAAGTCAACAGCGAGAAGCCCTCCAACATCATGCCATAACAATAGATCCCACTTCACTGACAAACAAACACAAATACACAATCATAAACGGTCCCAGCCTGTGCTCACTCAACCTGGCTATAATCGCATCAAAAAAAACACATGACTTCCCCACAGAAAAGTATCAGCCAGGCTCATTTGTGCGCATGTGTGTGTGTGTGGATGTGCCAAAAAACAGAAGAAAAATCAGCCATCTTCATCTGGTAGAATTCAACTCAACAAAGGCAACACAAAGCCATGCCGACCCCATTCCCCCCCTTACTCACTCTACCTCTCCAAGACATGCCACCGTTGGCCCAGAATGCACTTCTTCACTCTCAAAAACAGGTCGCCATGGCCCCTAACCTATTCAATCTGTGCAACACCCCGGCCTCTCGCTCCCCATGCAAACTCTGTTGTAGCCTCACAGTTTGTGATGCACAAAGTCAGTAAGTGACCCTCACATTTCACTTACACAAAGACATGCACGACGCGGGCTGGCTCTACCCCTTCGGCTGTCCCGCTCTCCAGTTTGTTTCTGAAAGGATGATTGACGTACACACAATCTATTCCTTTCTTTTCTATTTTTTCCTTTCCTTAAAAGATCATAAGAGCTTCAGCATGTTAATTAGATTTGCATTCTATAAAACTACTATAAACACTAATATATCCATTTGGAAAGGATTTAAATACTAAAATCCCTTCAAATCCTTGTTTGTACATGTATGTGACATTTCCTCTCACTGCATTCACACTCTGAGATTTACATTCAGTTAGCAATAAGAAATGTATCAAAACACACGGACGAAAACAATAATTACAAGGAGGTAAAAACTAAAAAGGCCACACAACTATGTTAGTCTATGAAAAGAGTTCCATAAATAATTTGAGTATCCAGCTGTGGCTGCCTCTAAAGGTTTACATATCAAAGAATGCATGAAGGACAGTTTACAATCACACTCAGTAGAGAACAGGAGCCTCCCAGAAGGAAGCAAAATCTAAAGGACAGCAACAATGAAGAACTGTGACAGGATATAATAATGGTTTTATCTACAATAATTAGAAGTCTGCCAATCGTGACCCTGACTCAACACTTATGTTAAAAACTAGTTTTATCACAGCCTGATAAAAACCTCAATAAATAAATATGACTTACGATATTTCCTGCATTCACTAGAAGCACAGCTTGTGTTTTCACCACTGGAAAAAAAAAAAAAAAAGACATCTCCCTTGGCTATCATCAGCACATTGCTCCATTCAATGACACCTAACAAGTTTGCACTTGTCAAAACTCACTTATAGGAAAAGAGGGCAGGCTAGAGCAATCACACTGAAGGAAATTACGGCAGAACTACATAATCTTTTAAAAGGTCACTGGAATTTGTTGAACATTGTACGTGTAAGTGCAAAAAATGCAGTACTGATCATTCGATATGAGTCACAATGAGAAGTCCTCACTGAAAGTTAGTCATAACTCACTTTTGTCATTATTATTGCTAAAGTTTGTTCTTGATGTCAGCTTGAGTAAACAGTGCAGATGTTTCTTGATTTGTTTGGTTTATGATGTAGCACCACTTCCCCTCACAGTGCAACAGTGTGTCAGGCAGAGAGAATATTACTCCCTGGGTGGCTTTCCAAAGATGGACCTCCACCCTTGCACCGCACTTCAAGGACACGGGGTTGTGGTGGAAAGGGAAGGGGACAAAGGGCTGCTGTGCGGACATGTGCGAAATACAGATAAAGATGTGAAAACCATTAAAATATTGACGTTTTCAACCGCTGCCGCATGCTGTACCAGAACACGGAGCCAGCTGCAAGTGCAGATAGCTCACTCTTTGAATAAATGCGGTCTTAACGCACAATCCTCCGAGAAGTCTTAAAGTGGCAACATGCCTGTGTATTACAACTCAGCGAAGCATGCGAACTCCAAAAACGTACAGCTGCGAATAATCAATGAAAAGCTTTCCGACGAAAGAAATCAGCTGACACATGAACGTTAGGCTGAGCAGCGATTGATTTACAGCTGTGCTTTAACGGTATTTTCAGCAGTGAGATTCACATCTGCCGGCCAAAAGCTGTGTCATTGCTACAAACTCTTCTACTTACCGAAGTCGAAAAGCGGAGAAGTTTTGAAACACTGCTTCGTTTCCCGGGGCAGCCCAGCTTTCCAAGCACTCATTCACTCCTTTCTTCGGGACTCTCTCCTTCTCCCTCCCACAAACCCGCCCCCGCTACCATCTGACGCCATCCTTTCTCCCCCCCGTTTACGACCCTCTCTCGCCTCCCCCTCTCGCTCCCATCCCCCACCCCCGCCGTGTGCCACAGAGAAAGTAGCGATGATTAGAAAGAAAATTACTATTTGCTGGATGTTCTTATTCTCAGCTCTTCTCAGAACGATCTACGCGCTCCTTTTTTGTCTGTGCAATGACGTTCAGTTTTTTAAATCTTAATGGGCACTGCTAAAAACACATAAGTGTATCTCGCCACATAAATCAGTGTGCAGGTGTGAAATAAAAGCTGTGTAGCAAAATAATCGGGATTTACATCGAATCTACAGACATATCAGTGACCCATCGTACTGCATATATTTAGGTGAGATATCATTTTACATAATGTTATTTTACTGGGATATTTGATTAATTATGTTCAGTCTGACCAATGAAATAGTCCTGGATAAATATCACCATTATGAAAAAACTATTTTGCCTCACATGCGCCTTTCATGCTTTTTATGTTGAGGTCAACATACGTTTGAGTAATCCATGTGAGCCAAAAGCCTTTTTTTGGTGTTGCCTCGGTATGATGTTACAAAAACAGAGCAATATACCTAATATTGGCCTCACAGACACACAGCTCTGGCTGTGATTACAGCAGCAGCTGAGCTGTTCAAAGCTTTTGTTTATGAGGAGGGGCCAATGAGAAGAAAAAAAGAGAGCTCCTAAAGTGGTTTAAGACAGGATGACAAGATAAGCTGGGTGGCAGCACTGAAGCTGAGTATGAAAGAAATAAGGAATTATTAAAAAGGGAAACTATATGGAGCTGTACATGAGAATAAGAAGTTCTCCTTAAAAAGCTGACAACAGATAAACATTTTGCTTGTGATGACTTGAGATTTGGATTTTGACTTTAACGCAACAGTTCAGCAACAAGATATCATCCTGAAACCAGTTTGCCAAATATGGAGCTAAAACCAGGAGCTTTTATGAGACCACAATAACTGTTTTAATCATTTTATCAAATATTTCTTTAAATGCATAACATTATTACCAAAATCTTTAAGGAGTAAGGGTTTGTGATTTGAATGTTTATAAATGATTTAAAGCGCTTGAGCTGAAGGCAGCTGGACTCCTTTTAGGTTCTTGTATATGTTTTCTTCAAGCTTTTTCTGAGTTGAAGATGCCGTTCAGATAAGAGACTAAACATCTTCAACAACCTGAAAGAAGTTTAGTTGCCTTTGATTTGAGTACTTTAGACTTAACATGACTGAACTGGAAGACTGTGAACCTCGACAGATGATGCTTGTGAATGGTTTTGCATAGATTGGATCAGGTTGGCATCAACGTATAACTTAAGATAGCCTTGACTGTCAGACATTTAAGGCACCAGAAGAGCCTTAAAAACTTCCCTCTGCATGTTGAGAGTAGTTTGACCTAGAGCCACGAGCCACTCTTAAACATGTTATGACAGTGAGGTATAATCAAACTGCTAACACTTGAGGAAGACCTTCACTCTGCAAAAATTATAAAAGGAACAAATGCACTGCAGGGTGTTTTTAAAGGACTGTGTGTTGTGCACCGATAGTGTTGTGTACTGAAAGTTAAATTCCTTTATCAGTGTGTTTGTAAAAACAGGCTTATGCTGTCATAGCCAGTTTTTCTCAGATCCCTGTACTGATTTCTGGTGTGTCTAATGATGTTTAAAATACATATGCATGTTTGACTGTAATTCTGTTGCTCATCAGAAAGGCTCATCATCATCATTATTATGACCTACATACTGTATAGCTGTGCTTTAATTAAAACGGCTTCTCCTAACATGCAATGACCTAAATTATCAAATACCATCATGTCGCATGATAACTCTAACTCTGAACCACTGCTGCAACAGGCACAATTAAATTCACAATTAAAATAAAAATAAATAAAAGAAAGAGAAAAGAGAAAGAAAATGTAGTTTCAGTTTTAATTTTTCTGTATGTTTTATACAATGAATGTTATCGTTTACCATTTAAGGAGACATTTAAGGAAAGTTGCACATAGTAACAGAAAATTACCAGAACATTTTCTTTTCTTTTGTTCCTGTTGGATTTTTTTGGTTTGTTTGTTGGGTTGTTGTTGGGGGGTTTTTTTTACAGTGCGTGACCTCCCACAGTGCACTGCACATGTAGTTTAAATACCATCACTGATCTTTATTAAGTTTTGCCTGCTCTCTCCTGTAGTTTATGCATTCAGCGGGCTCATTGTTCTCCTCTTTTCTGCCTTTTCTTTCCCCCCCAGCTGCAAGCTGGTTACAGCAGATTGCTGCCTCTGCTTCAGAGTAGTTTTGCTTGAATTTGCTGTCTGTTACAGAGGAGCTATTCCTCGCCAGTGTTGTTAAGTTCAACTTATGATAGAAAGCACCTTAAGATGACTGCTGTAGTCTCAAGCTTCAAGCCACTTTACACTGTTTGATAACACTGACTTCAACTTAAATCTTTTTTAATTTCAAGGGATTGCGTTTTTTGTCTTATTTGCCCTTCTTATTCAGTATAAGACAAAAGTTCTAAAGCTTCTCATTTTAGTAAGAAAAGACGACATACAGTCCAGTTTGTCCACCCATCCTTTTTAGGGTCGCGGGGGGGCACTGGAGCCTATCCCAGCTGTCATAGGGCGAGAGGCGGGGTACACCCTGGACAGGTCGCCAGTCTGTCGCAGGGCCAACACACAGGGACAGACAACCATTCGCACTCACTCGCACATTCACACCTAGTGGCAATTTGGATTATCCAATTAACCTATCCCCACAAGCTGCATGTCTTTGGACGGTAGGAGGAAGCCGGAGTACCCGGAGGGAACCCACGCAAACACGGGGAGAACATGCAAACTCCACACAGTAAGACCCCAGCCTGATGGTGGAATTGAACTCAGGACCTTCATGCTGTGTGGCAACAGTGCTAACCACCGTGCCACCGTGCTGCAGTCCAGTTTGTATGTTCTAGTATTGCATGTGTCACTATGATATATACTGTTTGGGTTTTCTTTCTATATTTTGGGTGTTTGTGACAACCACACTGTTTTTCGCTGCATTCCTGTTGCATACATTTTGAACAAGCCATACACAAAACCTAATAAAAAAATTAAGCCAAGAAACTCCTCTTCCAGGCCTGCTAACTCCAGCTTTCATTTAGTCTCTGGAGTGATGCAGTGGGAGCTTTTTTTTTTTTTTAAAGAGCTGCCGCCCTCGTGGCACTCTTCACAGACTCACACTTTACAGTTTGTCTCCTCACTCACACAATGCCACAGTTCTGCGCTGCAGCCGATCCACTGTATCATTTGGGTTGCCCTGCCTTCAGAACTTCCTCTTTCCACACCAGTGCTGTTTGTGTGTCTCATCTTGGTGAGAACACTGTGGGAGGCAGAAAAGTCTGTAAATAGAGACGTGTGGTCATGACATAGGAAGATGTTCTTAGCTGCTGGGTAACTCCATGGGAAATGCAGACAGGACTTGGGAGACACTGGGAAAGATGAGTGGGTTTGATGGTTAGTGACTGTGGGGAGGAAGTTATGATGATGCCATTCCTGGTGCATGTGTTTACAGATTTGTATGTGGGTGTGTGTGAAAATCAGGGCCTGGTATATTTGTGTTAATTGCAGTTGGGCTTTTAATATATAGCTGCACTCTTTCTAAAACTATCAATGCGTAAATCTTGCTAGAATCCAAAAAATCTAGACATAACTGGTGGTTTTTAAGTTTCTTATAAGAAGCTGACTTTATGTGGATACAGGTTTTGTTCATGTTGCTGCCATGATGTGTAGCAGGAAGCTGGACCCAATTGCTGGAAACAGACGGAGGTAACAAAAAAAAAATCAACTTTTACTGAGGTTGAATTCAGAAAGGTCCAAAATGGCACGGGGCCAACAGCAAAACACACAACGCAAGGGTAAACTGGCTCAAATCTGACAAAAGACAAAGGGTAATTGGGGCAGAGTGGAGACATCCGGGAAACTACACACAGACCTGGGAAAGTAAAAACAAGAGACAAATGCCTATCAAATCAAAACAGAAAGCAACATTACAGAGGAACACCTCAACTCACAAAAACAGAGACAAAGACTCTTACAACACAATATTAGGGAATATGAGGGATGCTAGACTTAAGTAAAGGAGGAGGAGAAAGGAATCCAAGATAAATAACAAGTGAAAACACCAAACAGAATACAGCGTAACAAAAAATGAAGACTAAGAATCTTAAAGACAGGAAACAAACAGAAGATGAACAGAAGATACTAACAAACAATAGGAATCAACTGGAAATTACACAAAACTGAGTCAAAAATCCAGGACCACCAGAGTAGCTGGTTATTATGAAATTGCATAAGTATAACCTGCTTTGCACATGTTTTATTTGTTTACCCCACTGAGGACAGTGTTTGTCTATCCTTCACCCTAAATCTGACAATTTCTCATCTCATTTAAGGTTGTAAAATGGCACAAAACTATGAAAATTGTATCTATTAATCCACAACTTCATGATTTATATTGTGTTATAGTGGAAACGACTTGAAAAGTTTTGTAAAAACAAATTCCTAGGATTCCTTTATAAGTTAATTATGCATGTTAATTATAATTACTTGCAAATATACCAGTAAATATACCAAATACAAACAAGCATTTGTAGTAAATCCTCATGCACATTGGTACTGAATGTATTACATTATCTGTCATTAAATTTTGAATACAGTCATATGAAAAAGAAAGCTTTCACAGGACTGTCTACAGTCACAGGACTGCAGAACATGCAAAACATTTCTCAATGATTTTATCTGCTGCTTGCATTACTGTCGAGGAATGTTCCCCCACTCTTCTTTGCAACGTTGTTTCAGTTCATTGAGGTCTCTGTTAAGTTTATGCCACAGCACTTCAATCAGGTTGAAGTCTGCCCTTTGTGATTACAACACCTTGATTCTTTTTCTTTTTTTGTTCAATGATTCTGTTGTTGATTTGCTCCTGTGTTTGCAA